GAAAACAGAGGAAATATTTCCTCTGCTTTCCTATGCATTGCTCTGTTTGTTTTTGGTTTTTTTTGGTTGGTTTTTTTTTTTTTTTTTTTTTTTTTTACATTTAGAGGCTGAAAAAGATTATATTGAACATTCCTGAGGAGTTCATGGTTGGAGCTGGCCCTGAGCTAGGCTGTGTGTGAGGGATCCAAATGGGAATTGCTCAGACTTAGGGAAGTTTTGTTTGACTTTTCTGGGAGTGCTGAGGCCTCCATGCAGGATGTTCTACATGGGTGTGATTTTTCTGCTTGGCACAGCCACCAGTGCCTTGGGAAGGAGACCCTTTGGAGGCTCCTGGTGCTTTTTCCTTCAGAAAGCAGCTGGTAAAAGAAATATGGAGCTGTTGGAGCCAGTCCAGAGAGGCCACAGAGCTGCTTCAGGGCTGGAGCCAGGCTGGAGAGCTGGGGGAGCTCCCCTGGAGAGGAGAAGGCTCCAGGGAGAGCTCAGAGCCCCTGGCAGGGCCTGAAGGGGCTCCAGGAGAGCTGGAGAGGGACTGGGGACAAGGGATGGAGGGACAGGAGCCAGGGAATGGCTCCCAGTGCCAGAGGGCAGGGATGGGTGGGAGATTGGGAATTGGGAATTCCTGGCTGGGCTGGAATTGCCAGAGCAGCTGTGGCTGCCCCTGGATCCCCAGGTTGGACATTGGAGCTTGGAGCACCCTGGGACAGTGGGAGGTGTCCCAGGGGTGGCACTGGGTGGGATTTAAGGTCCCTTCCACCCAAACCATTCTGGGATTTTGGGATAAGCACCCCTAGAAGAGGCTGAGGCCTGGTAAGGTGATCTGGGCTGATCCAGCCTGGCCTTGGGCACTGCCAGGGATCCAGGGGCAGCCACAGCTGCTCTGGGCATCTGTGCCAGGCCTGCCCACCCTCACAGCCAGCAATTCCCAGTTCCCAATATCCCATCTACATTTCCCTACATCACTTGTGTGGAGCTGGAGGTGCCAGAGTTCTGTTGCCCTTGGCACTGGGACCATGTGGAAAAGGCCAAGGGCGGGAAGTGTCCCCAAGGCCTGGAAATGCCCCCATGGACTGGGAGTGTCCCCAAGGCCTGGAAATGCCCCCATGGACTAGGAGTGTCCCCTTGGGCCATGCTGGGCTGTCCTTTTGTCCTCACTGAGCTCAGAGTTTGGGCTCTTGTGGATGAAAGTGTTCCTTGGTTGTTGAGTCAGCCAATCATGAGGCCTTGAGGGCCGTGTTGGGACGTGTCAGACGTGGATGTTTTAAACCTTTCCCACCTTCCATGGAGAAATCCATCCTGGAGAGCTGCTTTGCTCTCATTTCCAGGCTATTTGGAGTTATAATTTTCCATTTCCAAGCTCCTATAAAGACTTATTGTAATAGTCAGGGGTTACTTCTAAGAAGATGCCGCTGCAAACTGGGGCTGTTGAATGTAATCCTCCAAGAGTTTATTTTTGGTTCAGTTAATTCTGTGCTCAGCACTTCGAGACTCTTGGCAAGTTTTTTGGGAGGTCAGAGAAGGACAAAGAAGGAGAACACAACAAACTTATTATTTCACATTTTTCAAGGTAATCCCTTTCCCAAACTACATTAAGGACCATAATTAGTTTGCTTCTGCTATAAAACAAACTAATTTCTGAATAGTCTTTAATTGGTAGCTGCATTTTGGGAATACCATGACTACACAAAACAGTTATGTCAGGAAATGTTATTAACCTGCTGATGAAGCTCATCAGAGCTTCTTTGCAGTCATGAGCACCTCAGAAAAGTTTTCATTTCAGTACCAAAACTTTGAGGTTCATATTCTCAGCTCTCAGAGCTGGTTCATGCTGGGATCCCACAAATGCAGAGGTCAGGAAATCCAGGTCCTTTCCCATATTGGCATCAATTGTTGGGTCTGGATGAGAGGTTGTGGCTGCCCCATCCCTGGAAGTGCCCAAGGCCAGCTTGGATGGGGTTTGGAGTGGAAGTGTTGGAACTGGATGGGATTTAATTCCCCACCCAACCCATTCTGAGATTCCCTGATCCTCTCATTACAGGAACCACCAAAATAATTTAAGCCTGAAATCTGTGCTGCTTTTCAAACTTGCAGGCTGTGTGGGAGGTAACTCTGGATGGAAAGTGTCTCCAGTGTGAGAAATGGAAGCAGAATGAGCCCATCTGAGAGCTGGGGGCAAGGGGAGCTCCCAGTGCTGGGAGACACAGGGACGGCTTTGAATGATGAATGTTCCAGAAACCAAAGCCATCCTGCTAAGGTTTATGTTAATTTGGTCTCAGTTTAGTCACAGGGAAGAATGAATGTGTACCAAACAGCAGATGACAGCGTGTGCAGGGAAAAACAAATTAAATTCAAAGTTGCTAAGAGAGCATCATAAATACCAGAAAATAAACGGCTTCAATTGAAGAATTATTTTACAGGGTCATTGAAATCAGCTGCAGATGGTTGTCCTCTGTTTGCTCTGGCTTGGGAGGCAGAGCAGGCTTTAGAATAAATTCCTGGATCATTTTTTCCCAAGGTCTGTGCTCTGATAACATCTGCAGCAATAGAAATGCCTCGGTGAATGCAAAGTCTGAGTTCCAGGGCCTGGTGGAGCAGGCTAATGAGAATCACCTTCCTGACAACAAACACACCCCAGGGCCTGATTTAGGGCAGCCATGGGGTAGGGATGGGATAAAATGGTAAATAGTGCTGGGAATTCAGTGCTGGGCTGGGGGAAACTTGGTAAAATTGGATAAAATGGTAAATAGTGCTGGGAATTCAGTGCTGGGCTGGGGGAAACTTGGTACAATTGGTTTGTGCAGTGAGTCAGAATTAACAGAGCAACAGCACAAGGGGTTCCTTTTTATCCTCATTTGAAGCACTGATTAATCACAGAATTATGAAATCATTATGGAATCATAGGGATCATCCAGGGCAGCTCCTGCCCTGCCCAGACCCCCAAAATCCCACCCTGGGCTTCCCTGGCGCTCCTGGAGCTCTGGGGCTGTGCCCATTCCCTGGGCAGCCTGGGCAGTGCCAGCACCCTGTGGGGGAGGAACCTCTCCTGATAATAGACCTCCCATTCAGTTGTTATTTTAAAACTGTATTTTCGGTGAAGAAAACAAATTATTTTGTTTTAATCAGGAAGAAATTCTGCAGAAAGATTCAGGGCATTTGCTGCCAAATTGCAAAGTCCTGATTGCTCTGAGGAGGAGAGGGTGTCCCTCACACAGCCACGGGTGCCAGAGGCAGATTCAGAGGGAAAAGAGATTATTTTCCTCATTTTATGGAGGAAAAGTAGGATGGGGCTTGGTGCAAGCTGGTCTAGTGGAAGGCAATTAAAGCTCCTGAAATATCCCATGGCAGGGGTAGGAATGGGATGAGCTGTGAGGCTCCCTCCAACCAAACCGTGCTGTGATTCCCTGACTTCCATTTTTCTGCTGGGAGAAAAATTTGATTTTTCCAGGGCAGAGCTGGGAATTCTCCTCCTGGGCTGCCCAGGGATGGAGTTCAGGAGCCTGTGGGATTCTGGTGCTGCCCAGATTTTGCGTCTGCAGCCCCTGCCCTGCTCTGTGCTCTGACCCCTTCCCCTGGACTCAGCCTGGAGCGCTGGCACATCCCTCTCTGCAGGCAGCAGAGGATGCAGCACGAGGCAATGAGAGTTTTTAGGCTTTGCATGCAGAAATGCAGAGGCAGGGGTGTTCTGAGAGGCTTTTCAGGCAGGGCAGCTCTGCTGCTGCACTTTAATCTCTCCCCAAACCATCCCAGCATCCAGTGCTGGCTCCTTGCCTGGATTGTAATCTTGCTGGATAGAAAATGAATCCAGTGCTCTGCCTTGGAAAACCAACAGTTCGTGTGTTATGACTTTCCATATTGTGGTTTCTAATTTAACTAGTGGAAAAAATAGGACTCTGGCTGATTTTTCCAGTCCTGGTTTGTTTTTTTTTTTCAAGATAAGTTAAATTTTGTACCTCAGACACAATGTGACATCTGGCTGTGCATAAGGCTCCATCCACAGGGGGCCAAAAATGTGCAGAATTGCCTTTTTGCCTCTTGGTCTGCAAGATGTCAGCGATAATTGAATTTTACTTTCATTGGACCGACAGGAAGGTTGAACTGGACCGAGAAATTTTAAAAGTGTGACTTCATGTGGAAGGTTTGCAACTTGTCCCTGTTATTTCCAATTAAATAAGGAAGGTAATTCCCAGAACCTAAGCTGCTCCTCCAGGTCAGACCATTTTATTTTGTCTGTCCTTCCCCTCAGCCTGCCCAGCTGATGTGTGAATAACACGAGGACAGGGAAGCTCTGCAGTTCCTATCCAACAGCCCCTCCAGGATATATTTGAGCACCTTTAATTACCTGTGACTGATTTCAATCTCTGAACCGTTGCAACACGTTTGAGGTTGTTTATGAAGGGCCTGGAAACACACCCCAGGCTGTGTCTCTGCCTGTGGATACCTCTCCTTCTTTATTTGGTTGGGTTTTTTTCCACCTGGCTTGTCTGCAGGGAGATCAGAGCAGCCTCAGTGCTGGGTGTGAAATGGATCCAGCCCTGAGTGCTCCAGATCTGATCTGGGAGTGAGGATCCTGCAGTGCCTCCCCAAGGAGGGGTTGGTGTGTTTGTGCTTTCCTGCAGGCAGCCAGGAGACAAACCCACACCAGTCTGACACCTTCCTGCTGCTCACACACTGAGGAAGGTGGAACCAGCCTGGGACAAAGCATTTCTCAGACAGAGTGTTCATCTCTGTGTTATCCACCCATCCAAAGAGAGAAATAATATTTCCTTTATATTTGATACCATGCAGATTTGTGCTTTCAAGCAAAATTAGCAAAGCACTGGTTTTAATTAATTTCACCTCATTCTTTGAATGTCTGGCTCAGAATTTCTCTGTCAAGACTTGAGTGTGCTGTGAAACTTGGGAATTGCTGTCCTGGCTTTTTCTGCAGGGAGTTTTTAGCCCCAGCACCCCTGAAGTGTGGCACAGAAAGAACATAACCTGCTGTTTTCTCTCTTTTCCTTTAGGAGAGATTGTTTGTCAGTGAGGAGAACGTTGATGGATTTCTAGGCACTGCTTTCTGCCCTTCCCCTTGCTCCCAATCAGCCCCGGAAAGGCAGCCATTAATTGAAGTGCTGGATGTTACTGAGGACAGAATTCAAATCAGGGTGGAGGTAAGGGCCCAGGAGCAGCACAGGCTGATTTATGTTCCTCTGCAAGATCTGTCAAATCCCACTGAGACAGCTTGGTTCCTGTTATGTCCTGGGGAGCAGGGAAAGCCCAGGACTGGGGTTGTTTGCAAGTGTAAATGTCAGTTTTCAGAAGTAAAACTTGTGTTCGTGCCATTTCATGTCACCAAAGGATTGAAACCTCCTCTGTTTCATTTGGAAGGTGCAGAACTGTGATCCAGACATTTAAAAAGTGATTTTTCCTTGCAGGAATAGCTCACCCACTCAGCCTTGTACAGGTAGAGAAATCCTGGAGGGTTTGTCTGAGAAGAATCCTGCCTCATCTTTATTCAGTCCATGTGTTGGAATACTTGGTGGGTTCCTGTTGTGTAGATAATTAAACATGAGGCTATTAATCTTAAACACTGGTCTCAAATTCAATCCTTGTAGTCTGAGGCCTCATTCAGGCTCTCCCTCCTCTGCCTAGAACAAGCCAGGCTGTTTCTGGGATTAAATTGTCCTTCCTTGGCAAAATGGATGGGCAGATAAGAAATCCAAATGTTCATTTCGTGAGGAGGAAAATGTGAGGCAAACCCCCCACGTTCACTGGGATTTCTGGGTAGGCACTGCATCCAAAATTCAGATGAAACTCTTCCTAAAGGGAGGATGAAAAGCAGGAAGAAGCAGGTCCCTGCTGTGGCCATGGACTGGGGTTAATGTGTAACTGGGTTATTGGGAGGCAAGTTCAGAGGAAGCTCACGACCTCTGGAACTGGGCTGGAGCCTGAGCAGCTTCCCAAAGGTACTGGATCCAGCTCAGCTTTCACAGCTGCTCTGGGCTGGACACAAAAAATGAAATTCTAAATGTTGGAGAGCAGATGAGTCCCTTTGGGACCCCTTAAATCATCCCATTCCTGCTCCTGTGTGGGGCCAGGAGTGGAGTTTGTGGGAAATAGGGTAAAGGTAAGGAGGCTTTTAGAAAGTTGTGAAAGCAGGTTTTAAAAATAGAAAGAGGAGAAATTTAGAGTTAGTTGTAAAGTTTGAGAGTAGAAAAGTTACAATAGTGTAGTAAGTAAGGATATGAAATAATAGTTTGAGTTTTAGATTTGGTTAAGGTAGATTTTAAGATTGTAGAAAAATATATTTAGTATGCTGTTGGCTAGAAAGTTTTAAAATGCTCTGTAACAAAAAAATCTTTAATACTAACAAGATGTAGACTATTACCATCTTTCAATGATCTCAACCATATCATAGGACTAATAGCACAATAAAACTCAAACCCCACATCCCAGCAGTCCCATCCCATTGATACAAACCCCAGCACAGAGCTGGTGATTCCTGAGGGTCCCTCCAGCTCAGGGCATTCCATGATCCCGTTCCTGTGGGAGAACTGTCCAGTTTGGGAAGGACTCCCTGGTGTTTCCTGAGTTTCCTGTGGTTTGGGGGTGTCAGAAAGGGACTCTGTCTCTGGATCCATCAACCAGCTGCTCTTGGATGGGTCCTGGTCCTGACTCTCTACTGACAGGACCTGTGAATTCCCAGCAGTTTTTGCCAAAACTCCCAGGAATGGGGAAATGGTTGGACAGCACCTCTCCCAGTTCCTGCTCTCCCGAGGCAAACTGCAATTCCCAGATTTGCTCCACAGGCCAGGAATTCCCCTCATTGCAAGGCTCCAACCTTGCAGCAGGAGTTGAGATCCTCTGGCTGATTCTGTGGCGCTGGGATTTGGGGATTTGGGATCAGGCTGGGTGTGGGGAGTGGAAAGCAGGAAACCCTGGGGAACAGAACAACTCCCTGCCCCTCATTCCCACACGTAGAGCAGGAAAACCTCAGCACTCACCCACTGGGCTTCTGGAAAGAGAATCATGGAATCTCAGCCTGATTTGGAACATTAAGCATCATCTGCTTCCAAAGGGACACTTTTCACTGTCCCAGTGGAGCTGAGCTGTTGGAGAAACAAATCTGTCCTGTCTTTGTGTGCACAGTTTGTTCCAGCTATGAAATAATTCATTTATTTCCTTGACAGCCACAGGAACGTGATGGACAAGGAACTCTTGGCAGCTCAGAGGGAGCCCTGGCCGGACAGACCGACAGCAACTCCCCCGAAACAAAGGCAGAAACAAAGTGTCCTGCAGCCGAGGGAGGTGCTGCGGGCCCCGGAGCGGGAACAATGGGAACGGCAGCCGGCTGTGCTTCACCCCATTGTTCGCAGCCTCAACCTCCTGCCTCCAGCTCAGCCCTTCCCGGCGGATCTGCGGGAACCCAGCCCGATTTAGAAAGTGCTGCTGCAGCAGGAGGCACGGCCACAGCCCCGGGAACAACAGCAGGAGAGCTGCAGGGGGGTGGGGATGGGGATGGGGATGGGACAGGGTGCCCCATCCTGAGGGAGGTGAACCCCGAGAACGGCAGCGAGCGCATCCTGCGCGATCACCGCACACACTGCCCCGTGCAGTTCCACAGCTCCCTGCTCTATGAGCTGGATTGATTTATTTGTTTTGTCATTTAATTCTCTTGTTTGATGCTTGTTCTGACTCCCACGGGGATGGAGATTGGGCAGGGTCCTCCATTCTGAAGGAGGTGAACCCCCAGGACGGCAGCGAGCGCATCCTCCACAATCACCGCACACACTGCCTCCTGCACTTCCACAGCTCCCTGCTCTATCAGCTGGATTGATTTCATTGTTTTACAATTTCCTTCCTTTTTTGATGCTTGTTGTGACTCCCATGGGGATGGGCAGGGAGCATGATCCCCCATCCTGAGGGAGGTGAACCCTCAGGACGGCAGCGAGCTCATCCTCCACGACAAATCATTTTTGTCACTGCCCCCTGCACTTCCACAGCTCCCTGCTCTATCAGCTGGATTATTTTCATTGTTTTAGCATTTCCTTCCTTGTTTGATGCTTGTTCTGACTCCCATGTACTGGTGGGTGACATGGAGGCCCTGGGTTCCCACTGAAACTGTTGCAACACCAAAACTTCCCATTGTTAACAGTTTATCAATTCCCCAATTTGTTGCAATAATTTTACTTTTAAGAAAAGTTGCAGTTGGAGGTGAGCTCCTGGAAAAAAATGTATCTTTATTGTTTACATAAATTTTTTATTCTCTTCCCACGTTTCACGGATTATTTGTATATATCCTCAGCCTAATGGCTCCCTCGGGAATTGAGCAGTAGTCATCATTTTCCAAACCTTTCATTTTGTGATAACTGCAGGATTAGACTCACAGTGATTCTTAGCAATCAAATGAAATTTCTAATTACCCGGAGAAGTTCTAATTAGTCTCCTAGAAATAATCAACATTTATACCCTGTATTCCATCCTAGTGCTGTGCTTCAGATCTGCAGCACCCAGATATCCCCCAGCTGAACAAATTCCATTGCACAAGAGCATCCTCTGGGTGCATGTCTGCTCTGAAGTATTTACAACTGCTGAAATGGATTCTCTTTAGCCAGATTAGATTTATTTTTCTCAGTTTCCCTCGAGTGTCAGCGTTTCTCACCTCCCTAAAGCAGAATAACCAGGAGAACACATCTAATAATAAACTTCCTGTTCCCCTTTCTCACTGCTGCTGAACCAACTTCTGTTTTTGTTTGAGAGGTGCTTTAGAGGAGAGTTAATTTTGCCTCTGTCACGTTTCAGTTTGTGTGCGTGGTTTCAGAGTTTTCAGGAGCCACAGCTGCCCACAACACGTGCCCTGCCCTCCCTGGTGGCACGTCCTGCTGGAGCCTTGCTGGGCTCAGCTGAACCCCCTCAGCTTTTTTGGGAGAGGGTGAGGCACCAGCACAGCTCCAGCACCAGCCTGACCCAGTGGAACAGAACACGGAGCAGTTACCTCGCAAAATTGTGGTTAAACAACCCCTGGACAAAGAAAAAAGCAGCATTTTCTTTCTCTGACACATTTCCGTGTTCCACAAAAGCTGCTGAGGTGCTTCTGCCACAGCTGAGTTCACAGGAGTGGCACTGAAGCTGCTGGAGCATTCACAGATGGCTCCGTGGCCCCAGCTCAGCCCCTTCCCACCACACTGCAGCAGTTCTCATTTTTCACACAGCGAATTTGAAGCAACTTTTTAAAAAACAAATCCAAACAAAAGAGGTGTTGTCCACCAATTTGCTATTCTTTTCTGCCTCAATTAATGAGTATCATTAAAAACTTAATGAAGTTAAATGCACACTGCTGGAAGGAGTGATGGCACGTGTCCAGCTCTCGGGATTAAAGAAGAGAAACTCCCCCCTCCTTCCCACCCTGGCTTTTCAGGAACACGAGGTGACATCATCTTTTTGCTGACAATCAACAACTTCTCTAGGCTTACAAAACAACGGCATTTTTTATTTCGGCAGAACTAAAAAAATCATATATTTATCTACATCGTAGTAAAAACAATGAGATTTATTTTCATTTCATATCCTTCATATATTCATCGACACGGCGCAACCGAACCGGGACTCGGGGATCGGGCGTGAGATGACCCCGGGTGGGACCCCAGGCACCACCAAAGCTTTGAAGCACCAAAAAAGATGCACTTAAAAGTGTTCTCCTCCTCCTCCTCCTCCTCCTCCTCCTCCTCCTCCCAGCAAACACAGCAGCAGGTCACTTTTTGCGTAGGGGCTGCAGCACGTCACCCGTTTCCAAAACGTGGTTGCCAAACATGAGAGATTACTATTTTGGGACACCTTTAACAAGAATGTTTATTCATATTAAAGCAGAAACCAACTCATAAATGCTGTTTATACACGTGTGTGCCTGGAAAGGACACAATGGGACAAGTCAAGGAGAAAAGGCGCTGCGAGGAGGGTCCTCACTGGAGTCTGCGGTAGCTCTTACAGAGTTCGTGGTCCCTGATGTCTCCCCACCCTCCGTTCTTGACGTGAGGGGACAGGGGAGCCATGGAGTACCTTTTACTGACACTCATCGCCTCGGGAAACAGGTACTGTTGGTTGCTGTTCAAGAGAGAGTCGATTTTGGCACTCTGGGTGGACGGTCTGCAGGATTTCTTGTGGTGCATGCCACAGTCCCCCGTGTGAAAAATCCTGGGGATTTCGGGAACCAGCACTTTCCAGAACTTTGGAAGACAAGAGACAGTCAAGTGCTGCAGAGTCCAGTCCCAGTTGTAGTCATCGTAGGTGCAGAAGGCGTCCGTGCACTCGATGAGCTTCTGGTAGGTGTCTCTGCCGAAGGCCATGCCCATGTTGTGCTCCGTGGACTTCCACGTCTTCATCTCCACCTTGTCGGCGCGGCCGGCGAAGCCGCCCCGCACGGGGCTGTAGGTGCCCAGCGACACGAGCTGGCACTCGGGGCACTCGCGCTGGCGCAGCGCCCAGAGCCGCTTGAGGACGTGGTAGAAGTCGGGCGCCAGGTAATGATCCTCCTCCAGGAACAGCACGGGCCCCGCGTGCTCCCGCAGCGCCCGCACGCGCTCCCACACGAAGTGCAGCTTCCACCACCAGTGGTGCTTGGTCTGCGCGAAGCGCGCCTCGCGGTAGTGCCCGAACGAGTCCGGGAACTCGGCGTTGATGCAGCCCAGCCGCAGCGCCGCCGCCTTGCCCACGTCGCGGGGGCAGTCGCGGGGGTCGTGGCCCGGGAACTCGCGCGGGTACAGCTGGATGCTGAACGGGAAGAACACCTGCAGCACCGGGCAGAAGTCCACGCGGGCCGCCAGCCGGTTCAGCTCCTCGGCCCACAGGTCGTGGCTCAGCACCAGCAGCACGTTCTCCACGCCCGGCGCCCGCCGCAGCGACTCGAGCAGCAGCCGCAGGTGCTCGGCGCGGTCGTGCACCTGCACCACGAGCACCACGTCGGGCCGCGCCGGGAAGCGCCCGGCGTTCCGCACCGGCTGGTCGAAGTTCAGGCGGTACACGAGCGAGCGGTAACTCAGCGTCGCGTTCTCGGACAGCTCCTCCGCCGCCACGGCGACCGACGCGTTGGCGGCGGGGCGGCGCGGTACCGCCGGCGGGGGCTCGCTGACCCGCGGCGGCTCCCCGGTGCTACCGGGACCGCCCCGCTGCTGCTGCTGCAGCTGCTGCTGCCGCCGCCGCCCGCCGCCGCCGGTGCCCCAGAGCGCTAGGGCGCAGAGCGCCAGCGCCAGCGCCAGCAGCAGCACCTTGCGCTTGTAGACGCGCAGCCGCATCGTCCCGGCGGCGGCGGCCCCGCTCCGCCGCTCCCGCCGCCGCCGCCGCCGCCGCCGCTCCCGCTCCCAGCGCGCGCGCGCCGCCGCCGCCCCGCGCGTACACGTCGCCGCTCCCCATTGGCCGCCGCTGCGGCGACCGCCGCCTCGCCATTGGTGGGAGGAGCCGTCAATCAACTCCTCGGCGCTTCCGCCGCGCAGGGGGGGCCGCGCAGCCGCCGCAGCCGCACCGCGCTCTGATTGGGCGGCGCCGAGAGGGGGCGGGGCCAAGGCGTGAGGGGAGGGCGGGAAGGGGCAGCGGAATCCTTCGGGATTGGGGAAAAAAAGGGAAAATAGCTCTGCAAATGCAGGGAAAACACACGGAAACCAGCCGGGAGCCGCGAGAGTAACAGAAAAAATAAGTGAATGCTAAGGTTGAAAAACTGCACGTTAAAAAGCATTCTGTAATGACAAGAAAAAGGTGAGAAATCACTCTAGAAATGCAGGAATAAGGATATAATCAGTGTAGGACTGAAAGAATAGGATAAACTAACTTTAAGATTGAGAGAAAAGAAATCTGAGATTTATAGAATAAAATAAAATAATTCTAGATTTGAAGGATTAGTCTTATGAACCAGTCTTGAATGGTAAGAATTAAAAAATTCAGATTAATTAATTCTAGAGTCACAAGTATAAAATGACTCCAAAGTTTTCAACATTAATGTAAGAGTAAAATAATTCCAGAATGGCAAGAACAGAATAAGGAAACCATCCCAGATCCCTGCAGGGATGGGCACACCATCAGTGCCCTCTGCCAAACCCCTTTCCATGGAGAAATTTTCCCAAAATCCAAACTAAACCTCCCCCAGCTGGCACTCTAAGCCATCACACCTTCCAGGGAATGGGATTCTAAAAACTTCTCCAAATAAAATAATTCTAGATTTGAAAGATTAGGATTATGAACCCATTCTTGAATGGTAAGAATTAAAAAATTGAGATTTATTAATTCTAGAATTGCAAGTGTTTGTTCCCTGCTGTTCCCATCTCCCAGTCATGGAACAGCTGACAAGAGAGGAAATAAAAGAATTTGTGGATATGCTCAACATTTTGGTGCCATCCTCAGAAAAATACCAGCAGTTAATTCCTGGAGTACACTGGATGGAAAACCCCCCAGACAAAACACAATCCACATGTGCATGGAAGGCTTTCAAAATTTAATCAGTCAACACAGTGAAACAAATTCCAGAATGGTTAAAACAGGAGGATTAAGAAACAAAGTTTCAGGCACGTATTTAGAAAAAAGACATTTCTGGTATCACAAAGAGAGAAACCCCAAAAACAAACATTTGCTCTGGTAAAAACCCAGCAATGCTGGTCCCTGCTCCGAGTGGGAATGTTGTAACAGAACCTTTAAAAAAAAGAAGCACCTGGGATTCCACACCTGCTCTGGATGGGATTTCTCCTCCACTGGCAGGAGGGGAGTGCAGTGCTGGCCTGGCAGAGCTCACATGGGGAAATCTGGGATAAACTCAAATTCCCTTTGTCCTTCCAAGAAGGAACCACTTACCCACAAACCCAGAAACCCCAAGCACGCAGGAAAAGGGAAATACATTCCTAGGGAGGTTCTCTCCAGCTCAACGCTGCTGGGTGCTCCAGGCAGAGGAGATTCCAGAGGGGGAGGAGGTCAGGCCAGGCCACATCAGGCCATGTCCCCTCCCTCCCAGAGGGGGAGAAGGTCAGGATGTGTCCCCTCCCTTCCAGAGAAGGAGAAGAGCCAGGCCAGGCCAGGTCAGGCCGTGTCGCCTCCCTCCCAGAGGGGCAGAAGAGCCAGGCCAGGCTGTGTCCCCTCCCTCCCAGAGGGATTTGTCTCCAGAGGGGGAGAAGGTCAGGCCGTGTCCCCTGCCTCCCACGGGGACAAAAGCAAGGCCAGGCCAGGCTGTGTCCCCTCTCTCTCCAAGGAGGAGAAGAGCCAGGCCAGGCCGTGTCCCCTTGCTCCCTCGCAGAGGGATCTGTCCCCGCAGGGAGCTCCGGTGACACCGCAGGTGACACCTCCAGGCTCCCCCACGCCCCGCAGCCCGTCCTGGCCGGTGCCAGCCATCCTGGCCGTGTCAGCCGTGGCTCTGGAGGTGCCTGTCCAGGAACTGGGAGTAGCAGTGCAGGGAGCAGAAGTAGCAGAGCACGGGCGCGTCGGTGCCGCCCATGTTGTCCACGAGCACCACGGTGTGCGCCACGTGGTGCAGGTTCATGGTCACCGTGATCTGGATGAAGCTGCTCAGGCAGGCGCTCCCGCAGCGACACGTCTTGGCCACCTCCAGGTCCTTGCACAGGTGGGAAGGGAGCAGGTGGCAGCCATAAGGGATCCTGTGGGTGGGAGGAGGCAGGGTGAGATGGGCACAGAGGAGCTGTGTCACCCAAAGGCAGGCACAGACACAGGCACCTGGCACAGAGGAGCTGTGTCACCCAAAGGCAGGCACAGACACAGGCACCTGGCATAGAAAGAGCTGTGTCACCCAAAGGCAGGGACAGACACAGGCACCTGGCACAGAGGAGCTGTGTCACCCAAAGGCAGGGACAGACACAGGCACCTGGCACAGAGGAGCTGTGTCACCCAAAGGCAGGCACAGACACAGGCACCTGGCACAGAGGAGCTGTGTCACCCAAAGGCAGGGACAGACACAGGCACCCGCCATTCCCAGGGCACACAATGCCTTCAGTTCCAGCCTTCATGTTTTCCAGACTCTGCACTGCATTGGTGAGTGCATATATATATATATATATATATATATATATATATTTATATATTTTTATATATTTATATAAAAATATATCTATATCTATATAAATACATAAATATATGCAAACATATATTATATATATGCATATATATACACACACACATAAATATATGTATATATATACACATATGTGTATATATACACACATATATTTATATATGTATTTATATACATATATTAAAAAATATATATATATATACATGTGGTTATTAATTGTTGAGGCATTGTGAGGTCCTCAGGACGAGGTGAGAGATGAGAATTGACTCCAAGTTCTCAGAAGGCTGATATATTATATTATATTATATTATATTATATTATATTATATTATATTATATTATATATCTGTTATGTTATATTACGTTATATTACATTATAATATATTACAATATATTATGTTATGTTATATTGTGCTATATTGTATTATGTTGTATTATGTTATATTGTTACATTATGCTATACTATGTTATATTATGTTATATTGTGTTTTATATATGAAAATGGTATACCAAAACTATACTAAAGAAAGAAAAAGGAGGCATCAGAAGCTAGACAAGAATGATAATAAAAACCCTATGACTGACCAGAGTCCTGACACAGCTGGACTGGGATTGGGCATTAATTAAAAACAATTCACACTGAACCAATCAAAGATGCACCTGTTGGTGAGCAACCTCCAAACCACATTCCAAGCAAGCAGATAATTATTGTTTGCATTTCTTTTCTGAGGCTTCTCAGGAGAAAAATCCTGGCGAAGGGATTTTTCATAGAATATTACAGTGACATACACACACACACACATATAACTCTGAACTTCATATATGGTGCTAGCAGTTCTCCTCACAACTCAGCCCCACAGAACAATCCTTTCCTCTCCTCAGCCCCACAGAACAATCCTTTCCTCTCCTCAGCCCCACACAACAATCCTTTCCTCTCCTCAGTCCCACACAACAATCCTTTCCTCTCCTCAGCCCCACAGAACAATCCTTTCCTCTCCTCAGGCACTCTCAATCCTTTTCCAGCCCCAGAACCAAGGACAACGCTGCAGCTTCAGCCCCAAAAAGTGTAAAATGAGGGAATTGAGGAGAGCAAACTGGGAGGGTGGGACTGCACAACCTGGAGCTGGAATTGGACACTGAACCCAACATGGAAATGGACCAAAACTTATAAAAGTGTGACAACTCCTGACTCAGGGTCCATCTTGGGTGTAGTCTTGGCTGGGCTCTTGTGCTGCCCAAGGTGTGTCCTCTGAGGCCTTTTAATAAATCCCTGCTTTATTCTTTAACTCTGTCCAGCCTCTGTTCCAGGGAGCCTCTCCAGGCATCACAGACATGGCAAACCAGAGATTTGGGACTGAAATGGCACTTCCTGGGATTTCAGGACTGAAATGCCCCTTCCCAAGGCAGCCCTAAGGCCATGAGCTCCAGGAGACACCAACAGGGAGCTGCCAGCAATCCTGGCAGCCTGGGCCACAGCCAGCTAGGGAATTAGAGAGATTAGGAGTAATGAGAATTAGGGAATTAAAGGAAGATTAAGAATAATGAGACAATTGGGCACATTGTGTTCTTCCCTCACACTCTGTGCCTCACCCTGGCCTGACACTGCCCCCACCATTTACTCCTCCCTCTTACACCGAGGAGTAGCAGTGTTAAACACAACTCAGGGAAAGCAGGAGATAACTGAGCCTTCTGCAGTGCTGCAGGCAGGGAATGAAAAGTTCTCCTGCTCCACAGCTCTCTCCATCCCTCGTGCCAGCAATGACATCCAGAGTTGGGAAGGGGAATTGCTCCTTTGGCATTCACAGAGCAGCAGTGTGGAGCCCGGGGCACAGAGTCAGGAATTCCCTGAGGAATTCCATTAGGGTGCTGAAGTGTGGGGCTCAGCAGTGCCCAGCTGGCACCCCAAACTCAGCACAGATCCCCCTGACTCACATCCTGCCTCCACCTACACATCCCCAAATCTTTCCACACAGCCACGACTCCTCTGGGTTTTCTTTTTCCCCACCTTAATTTCAGAACACCCTTTTTTTCTGGGAAAAACATAATCAAGAACTCTGGTACTTTCCCAGAATGAAGACTGATTGTTCCAAACATTATTTTTGCACCTTCTCCTTCTGTTTCATCCCTTTCTCAAGGTTTTTACAGTAACTGAAGTCTGACCAGTGCTGAGGGATTTCTAGAGGCAGACAAAAGCTTTAATATTTCCATCAAACCCGCTGCAATTTATATAAAGTTGGGAAAGGAGACACGTGGGGGTTAATTATAAAATCAGCAAGGTCAGCAATGGGTGATTGGCCCAGAACATGTGGTGGCTCAGGTCCCTTCAGGGTGTGCCTGTGGATGCCTCTGGTGCAAATTTCTGCACAATTACCCCGGGTTTATGGGCACTGCCCACCCTCAAGGCAGGAACGGGCACAGCATGAAGATTAGGGACATTTCCAGCCTTTCTGTGCCAAATTTCTGTCTTTGCGCTCCCCTCCCACCCAGAGCAGGGTGGGAGCGGCAGCTGCTGGCACCTGGAGGCTCCTGGTGCACGAAGGATCAGGGGTGGGGAGAGAGGAGGGAGCTGATAACAAACAGCAGCCTGGGAGGGTGGGATTCACTTGGTGAAATTGTGTTTTTTAAATTACCTCAGAGCCGGGCTCTCTGAATAAGTCAGAACACCCTCACTCCAACACCAAGGGAAATGAGGAGCTTAAGGAAAACCTATGGCAGGGGAAGGCTTGCAGAAAAAGTGGCTCAGGGCTGTAGAATTGATTCTCTTTTCCCAAAGCTGGCTGAAAATATTCTGTTCATCCCCATTCTGTGGATGAAAACACTTCAATCTCTGCCTTTCCTTAAATGCTTCCAAAGGCACCAATTATCCTTATCCTGATGACTTGACAAGGGAAATTCAAAGGAATTTTCATGTTATGAAGTTAATAGGTGAGAAAGCATGTAGGCGGATAGAATATAAGTAAATAAAGGTAGTATAGAGAGTAATCTTACCCCCTAAAGCGGGTTAATTATTAAATATTAGGAGCAGGTGTGATGTTAACAGGCCACAGCTGTAGCCAATGAGAAGAGTGTTATAAAAGAGTGCATTGGTTGGCTGAGGGAGCTGGAGTCACTTGGTTGCTGTGAGGACAGGGGAGAGTCAGTGCCTGGAGGAGCTGCCTACGGGAAACATCAAGGAGGTACGGAACTCTGGCCATGTGGAACCCTTGCAGTGTAATGTCAATAGAACTCTTGCACTGTAATGCCACCGAGAGCAGGCGCTGCGGGCAAAGGAAGGAGGCAGGCGAGGGAGGCAGGCGTGAAGGAGCAGGGCCAGCAGTGCCTCCCCGCCCTTACCTGTGATTGACCGTGGCCCTGGCAGCGCACTCCAGCAGAGTCAGGGGGATCTTCAGCTGGATGTTGGGCACCAGCGGGTTGGGCTGCTCAAAGGGGTTCCCAAAGAGGTCCAGGTTCTCCAGGGAGAGGTTCCTGAAGTCCCAGGGCAGGAAGGGCAGCTTGTTGCGCGCGGCCGACAGGAAGCGCAGGCGGCTCAGCCGCCCGATGCGGCAGGGCAGGCGCAGCAGGGCGTTGTCGTCCAGCCGCAGCTGCACCAGGCCCCGCAGCTGGCAGAACTCCAGCGGCAGCGCCTGGATCTGGTTCTGGCTCAGGTCCAGCAGCTGCAGGGATTTCTGCAGGCCCGAGCTGCACAGGGCCCCGCTGAAGGCCTCCAGGTGGTTGTCGTGCAGGTCGAGCTCCTGCAGGAACGCCAGGTCCCCCAGCGTGGCCGGCAGCTGCTTGATGTGGTTGTGGCTCAGGTCCAGCTTGCGCAGCCGCCGCAGGCTCAGCACCCGGCTGTCGATCCTGGCCAGCTTGCAGTACGAGGTCTGCAGGTGCTCCAGGGAGAAGGGGAAGCTCTTGGTGAGGGGATAATCCCTCCTGGAAGTGATGATCATTTTGGTTTTGGGCTTCTCCACGTCGGAGTTCTTTGCTGGGACCAGAGGCGAGAGAGGGAGGACACCGCTGTCGTTGCCTTGGTGAGCCAGTCTCACGGCTGAAAGGAAAGTCTTTAAATTGATCACATTTGCCTGCAGGGGAACACAAGGCTGGAGTTAAAAGTTCATTATCCTGGTTGTCAACGCTCTCTGGGCTGTTCTGTGGGTGTCACTCAGCAGGGCAGTGGGATGGGAGAGGGAACAGCTCTGTTATGAACAGTCCTGGTCTGACTGTGCTGCAGCACCCAGGGAAGGAACAAAGCACCAAATCTACAGCTGGAAATGAAGTACAGAAAAAACCCCCAATGCACTGGAAGCTCCCAAAAATCCACCAGGATAAAGGATTGTTACAAACACACATGGGGAAATCAGAGCTCTAAACCCCGAGGCAATAATTCCTGGAAGTTTCTAGGAAAGAAAAGGAGGGAAGCTGGGGTTGAATTCAGCGAAAGGAAGGTGAAGTCAGTGCTCGTGGCCACACACAGCTCTGGCTGTGCCAGCAGCAGACAAGAGGCAAATCCTTTGCAATGACTAAATAATGCTTCAGTTGGGGTACAACAGTCTGGAAGTAGAATTCCAGCACAGTTTGGGTTGGAAGGGATCCTAAATCCCATCCTCTTCAACCCTCTCTCATGGCAGGGACACCTCCACTGTTCCAGGTGCTCCAAACCCATCCAGCCTGGCCTTGGGCACTGCCAGGGATCCAGGGGCAGCCACAGCTGCTCTGGCAATTCCAGCAGAGCCCCTCCCCATCCTCTTAGGGAACAATTCCTTCCCAATCTCCCATGCCATATTCCCTCCGGCAGTGGGGAGCCATTAAAGGCTCCCACCAACTCTCAGAGTATAAGGAGATTTTTATTTTAAATAAAGACCCAGAAAGCTCTGATGCATCTGTTACACTGACTTCATTCACTTCTAGGAACATTTGTGACCAAATCTTTCTCTTCTAGATCTTCCAGCAAGTCTCTGCTTGAGCTGATGTGCAGCTGACAGGCACTGAGCTAAAAGTGAATTCTAAAACAAAAACCACATTGCAACCAGCGAGGAAAAGAAAAGAACCAACTTGGAGTTCTGAGAGCCCAGAGGTTGTCCTTGTGCTCCCAGCTGCCACCTGCCCAAGCCCAGGGACACATTTTGCACCTCAAAGACAATTTTGCTCCTAAATGTCTTTGTTGAGGCCAAATCTGAGAGGGTTCAGAACTGGAGTACACAATGTGCTACAAGCACCCAGTACAAGAAAACAAAGACATTTGAGATAATCCTGGATGGAAATGTGGGAGAAATAAAGACATTAAAGGTCAAACTGAACTGACTGCATGTGTAAACTAAAATGATAATTTTCCTTAGGCATTCCAAGCACAACTCCTGCTGTGCCACCTTCCAGAGATGAGGAGGATGCACAACAAATACCTTTGGATCCAAGGTTATCCAGAGAAGCTGGGGCTGATCCCAGGAAATGCCCCAGGCCAGGCTGGATGGGGCTTGGAGCAGCCTGGGACAGTGGAAAGGGGAGGATGGGATGGGGTTTAAGGTCCCTTCTGTCCCAAACCAGCCTGGGGCTCTGAGACCAGCCCTCATTATCTCAGCCAGTCTATCACACACATTTAGCTACAGAATTTCCCCTCATTCCAGGCTGATCTGTGGCATTTCCAAGATCACTAAAATGGGAATTCAGTCCAAAAAGTCCTCCAGATCTGTAAGGACCAAGTGAAATCAGTATTGCACAGCAGAATGAAGTTACAGGCAGGATTTCTTTGCTCTCAAGCACAAAGCTCAATTCCCCCCACAAGCCCTCCCTAGGGGCCATGTGAGATCTCCAAACCTCTTGTTGAGAAATGCTGAAAAAAAAGAAAAAAGAAGAAAACAAATAATTACTTGGAATAATGACTTGGGAGAGCTCAGGATGAAATTTCCTGCCCCAAGCCCAAAGTCTCAGCCACGCAGACAATGCTGGAAAAGGAGTTTAAATTGTGTTGGTGCCTCCCAAGCGTGAGAGCTCTGAGGAAATCGGAGCTGAGGTGGATCCAGGGGAGCAGGCTCAGACCTGCTGAAGGGAAACAAACCCCAGGAAACAGCCAGGATTTGTTATTTCTGCTCTGCACGGATGTTTCCCAACTCCACTCCTGAGCTGGCTCAGGGCAGCAAATCCAGAGCCTGGCACAGCACAAGCAGGGGGATTTCCCAAAACCAATATTCCAGTCTGTGGAAATCTCTTCTCCACAAAGTTTTTGTTCATCTTTGAGAGTCAAGGAGCTTTTCTGTGATGAAGTAATAAAAATCTGGCAGAAAACTATGGAAAAGGGATGAAACATCTTAAATTTGAGTTCTGGAGTTGCTTAAGAGGAACCTGTAGTGTTTTGAGATAAACTTTTTGATTTCTCACTCTTCAGCAGAAAAATTCAGAGCAAAGGAAGCAGAAGTTATTCTGAATCTAATACAAAAGCCTTACTTTTTCCAAAATACAGAGTACACTGGCTTCTAACAGGAAAAAAATAACTGGGATTGGTGTCCTCCCTTCCTATTTAACCCTTTAACAGGTTCATAAAATTAAGGCTGCTTTCCTCAGATTCAGGTAACAGAAAGGAAAAAAAGATTTTATAAAGCACCAATCAACATTATTTGCTTTTATTTACACACTCTGACTTGAAAGCTTTAGGTAAGAACTCAGAGGTTATAAAAAGCCTGTCTTACTTTTCACACCTATAGGGCTACAAAAGATTCCTGCAACAGACACAGAAGAAAAGGACACGAGAATTTCATGACAATACATGTTTTTTTGGGTGACTTCAGTGCTGTTAAAAACACTACAAATCCTCTGGGCACTGTGAATAAATACAGAGGTATTTGAAATAAGGGGAGAGGGTGCCTGTGCTCTGCTCTGTGTGTGGGTGAGCACAATGATGGTTTTGTCCACGAAAACAACGGGATTCTTAATTTTTTTTTCTATGGGAAAAACTGTAGGGAACAACAATTTCATGGGAATTAAATTGAGCTGAGGGGACACAAGATTTAAGGCCAAACACCAACATTGCATCAGATAGCTGAAAAAAGCTTTTTCTAAAGAAGCTGTGAAGCAAAGCATGAGAATGAACTTCAGGAGAGTTAGGACAGAACCCAGAAAAGAGGGAATGGCTCCCAGTGCCAGAGGGCAGGGATGGATGGGAGATTGGAGATTGGGAATTCCTGGCTGGGCTGGAATTGCCAGAGCAGCTGTGGCTGCCCCTGGATCCCTGGCAGTGCCCAAGGCCAGGCTGGACACTGGGCTTGGAGCAGCCTGGGACAGTGGAGGTGTCCCCACGGCAGGGCTGGGATGGGATTTAAGGTCCCTTCCCGCCCTGCCGCGGGGGTCAGAGCCCGGTGAGCCGCGGCCCTGCCGCCGGTGCCGTTCCCGGTGCCGGTCCCACCTTGCTGAGGCACAGATCCACCGCGGGCTCCCGCAGCCGCACCGTGGCCTTTCCCTCCTCCACGAAGCGCGTGAAGAGCCGCTCCACGTTCTGCTGCACCTGCGGGCACAGCGGGCTCAGCGGCCGCCCCGGGGCACCCCCGCCGCCGCGTCCCGGCCCCCGCCGCCGTCCCCACCTTGTAGCGAGCCCCGCCGCGGTCCCGCGCCGTGCACACCATGAGGTAAATCCCGGCACCGGCGGCGCCGGGAGGGCGCCCGAGCGACAGCAGCGCCCGCGCGGCGCGGCCGCGGCCCCGCAGCCCGCAGGTGGGCAGGAGCCGGCTGAGCACCTCCACCTCGCACTGCAGCCGCATCCCGGCCCGGCCCCGGTACCGGCACCGGCCCCGGCCCGCGCACGGCGGGCGGCGCCGCCGGGGGCCTCCCGCGCTGAGCGCGCACAGGCGCCCGCTGCGCTGCCTGCCCGCCGCGGTGCCAGCCCGCCGCTGCCCGGTGCCGCCCGCTGAGGGGCGCGGGGCCGCCCGGCGAGCGGGATCGCGGGGCGGGAAGGGAGGGCGGCGGCTCCGGTGGTACCGGCGGCAGCGGCCGCACCGGCAGCCGCGGGCAGCCCCAGCGCGGGCCCTCAGCGCAGCGCCGTCCGCGCGGGGCCGGCCGTGGGCACCTCCTGCTGGAGGCGGCGGGTGAGGCTTGGCGGGACAGGGAGAGAGAGGCGGCGTGGGCGGCGGGGCGTGAGGGGACACGGGGCGTTAGGAGACACCGGGCGTGAGGGGACAGAGAGTGTGAGGGGACACGGGGTGTGAGGGGACACCGGGCGTAAGGGGACACGGGGCGTGAGGGGACAGAGAGTGTGAGAGGACATGGGATGTGAGGGGACACGGGGTGTGAGGGGACATGGGATGTGAGGAGACACGCATGCGAAGGAACAGAGGGTGTAAGGGGACACAATGTGTGAGGGGACATAGATGACCTGAGAGGATGTGGGAGTGAGCAGACATGGGCGTACGAGAGGACAGAGTGTGAGGGGACATTCAGGATACGAGGGGATGCTGAGGAAGTGAATGGGCATGGGGGTGTGAAGATCACGGGGTTGTGAATGGACATGGAGGAGCTGAGAGGACATGGGGGTTTGAGGGGATGTGGGGGATGGGGGGACATGGAGGGTGTGAAGGGACACAGAGGGGTCAGGGGACATGGAGAGTTGAGGGAGGACACAGAGGAGCTGAAGGTGTTGCTGAATCTTAGGGATTCTAAACATGAGCAACGAGTCAGGTTTAGAAAGGAGACGTTTATTCTGTGCAGGGTGCACGGTGAAAATTGTCCACAAATCAAGCGTGCCAGGGAATAAAAAGCAAAATTATTTATACACTAAAGTTTACATAAATCCGCCCAACCAATCCCCAGTTCCTGCCTACCTAATACACAATCACGGCCAAGCATGACATAAAATATAAAGTTTTCCATAAACATCAAGTAAAGCATAAAACACGTGGTGACGTGTTGGCATTGAAAAGAGGGTTTAGAGGGGAGAATGGTGCGAGGAGCAAGAGGGAGCAGAGGAAGGGCCAGGGAATTCTGTGTAAAGACATGGAGGGGACAGCAGGTGTGAGGGAGGGGACATGGAGGGGATGAGGGGGTGGTGGGTGTGAAGGGACATGGGAGGTGAGGGGACACAGGAAGGGAGGACACACAAAAGAGTTGAGGATACACTTGAGAGGTGAGGACACGCAGAGGAGGTGAGGGGACATGGGAAGCTGAGGTGACAGGAGTTGAGGGCAGGCGGGTGTGACAGCAGCAGCTGAGGTTTGGTATGCGACAGGAAGGCTTACGTCAAGCTTGGTGTCGAGGCTGCTTTGAGGACATGAAGGGGCATTGGGAGAAAAAACAACCAAACTCGGGGAGGCGTTTGCTGAGTGTTTATGCAGATGTATTATTAGAAAGCAGGATCGGTGTTTGAGATTTGCTCGGCGCAGTGAATTGTGTAGTTGAGTGGTGTGGTGTTGTTGCGGTTTTTGTTCAGTAGGAGGCAGTGTGTTGCGTGTGTGTGTTTTGGGGCGAAAAGGGGTGTTTGGGGCTTTTGTTGGCTATTTCGTGTGTGTTATTTTTTAGTAGTGTGTGGCAAAAGGTGTGAACCCCCGTTTCACTCTCTTGCCCAAGGGCTGCTGGCGTTGCTATTCACAGATGCGGTCCTTTCCGCTGACCGCCACCGGAGCTTCGCTGCTCCATCTCAAGTGCCCTACCCCCAGGGTCACCACATAGATTCCGAGTTTAGAAATGGGGCGCCCACTCCAGCGCCCCACCCAGCACACGTCAGCCCCGAACCCGGGGCTCAAGCAATTCGTCAGGGTTCAGCCTCCCCCATAGCTAGGATTACAGGCGCGCGCCACTACGCCCGGCACTGTGGAACTGCCCCGTTAGCAATGCAAACTTCAGTACCTCTGACGTCACTGAATGGGCCGAGCTGCCCCGTCCACGGCGTGACGTCACGGAGGGGAGCGGGCCCACCCACCGCTCCGGCGGCGCAGGGCGGGAAGCGGGAGCCGCGCGGTGCACGCCGGGAGGCGCTGTGAGGGTATAAGACCGGGCGGCCGCCGCCATCTTTCTCTCGGTACCGCGCAGCCATGGGCCACCAGCAGCTCTACTGGAGCCACCCCAGGAAGTTCGGGCAGGGCTCTCGCTCTTGGTCAGTGCCGCCCCTTGCACCCCGCGGGTCGTAGCTGCCGTCTCACCGCCCTGCCTCGCTCCTCTTTCCCCTCACGTTCCCCCCTCCTCTCCGGCGCCATTCCCCGCCCTCACGCGCCTCTCTGTGTTCCCTCACAGCCGCGTGTGCTCCAACCGCCACGGCCTCATCCGCAAGTACGGGCTCAACATGTGCCGGCAGTGCTTCCGCCAGTACGCCAAGGACATCGGCTTCATCAAGGTGAGCCCCGCGGCTGCGGGAAGGGGCTCGGGGGTGCCGGATCCCGCTGACTCCCCTCGTGTCTCTCGCTCTCTTGCAGCTGGACTGAGCGCCGGGAGGATGAGGCGACAGCCAGGAGCTCCGGGGGCGTCCCAGGGCCTCCCTGACACATCTGCCGCGTCTCGGCTCAGTCTTATTTAATAAATGGTCTCCTAACCCAGCTGATCCGTGCGTGTTTCCCTTCTGGGCAGGTTTTGGCGGCGCTGGGGGTTCTTTGTACAGGGCTGCTCCTGGAGTTGGGGGGGGCTGCCCTGCTCTGCTCGGCTTCCCAACCTTCCACTATCCTGGGCTGCCCCAAGCCCTGACCAGCCTGGGGCACTTGCAGGGATCTGGGGCAGCCACGGCTGCTCTGGAGGGAGTGAGGTGAAGACGCACTAAGTGCCACGGGTCTGGAATTCCAAGTTCTTAGGGATTCCGAGTGTCTGAGTGTTTTTCTGCTATGCAGTGGCACTGCTGTGAGGGGACTGAGCAGGTTAATGCTCTGCTCACACCTGGGGTCCCAAGTGCTGCTCCCTCCCAGCTGAGTGCTCTGCAGATCCTTTGGGAATGCCCAGAGCCTTTGTTCTGTCCCCCTGGCTATGGCAATGAGATAAGGTGTGAGGAGGGAGTGGGGGCAAACCCAGGTGTGCCCATAGCAGAAGCTGAAGGGCTGTGAGATTATCACAGAATTTGGGATGGTTTGGGCTGGAAGGGGCCTTAAAGCCCATGCCAGTCCCCTGCCCTGGGCAGGAACACGGGGCACTGGATGGTGAGGAAGCAGCTCCTTCCATGTTGGCACAGGGGTGAGGATTTGGCATCATCTGGGAGCCCTGGGGAGGGGGTTGGCTTTCCTCACCAAGAAGTGGTTGGGGCTCTTATTTTGAGGGAGAAATAGTTAAATCCTGGTTCTTACCAGAAAATGCTTCAGTGTGAAGGTTCTACACTAAAAAATAAAAATATTCAGTTGCTCTGGTGGTGATTTTGGGCTTTCCCCTCTGCCCAGTTTTTGTTGATGTACAGAGGGAGGGGAGTCCTGTGGGATGTGTTGGTTTGGCTTCAGTGTGGTTCTGAAAAAAAACCCAAAACCCTCATTGCCTTTTTAACCAAAATACTGAATTTCTCGGGGGGTTTTAACTAAGATGTAAAATTTCAGGGGAACACAAAATCAGTGAGGATGCAGAAGGTGACGGGAGGGTCTGTGCAGCTCCCACTGCTGTGTCCAACTTCTCCTGCTGCCTCTCAGAGGTGCCTGAGGCGCTTCCCAGGGGGAAATCCGAGTTTTTCCCAACATGATGGACCCAGGAGGATGCTCCATGCTGGGCACCACTGAGAGCCTTGGCAGTGGCAGCAGGATTGGGATTTTTTGGGTTCTAAGACCTGTTCAAGCCTGGCAGGGAGGGACTTGTGGATATTTGTCCCTTTTTCCTGAGCAAAGCTCCTTCCTGATGGCAAAAGAGATTTGGGATAATTCTTCCTGTGCTGCCCTGAGGATCTGGGCCCCAAATTTCTGCCAGAACGTTTTTCTCATTATGGAAAACAAGAATAAAGCCAATAGTCGGGGATGGTAATTGCAAGGCAAATCCCTATTGAAACCAAAGCTAAAATATGTTTTTCAATTACCTTGTGAACATCCCAATACCTCTGTTGGCACCTAATTTTGTAAAATTACAAAATGCCAATTGCCTTTTCCCTGGTGTGTTGCTCCCAGCTTTTCAGCCTGAGGAGAAAGTGGTGCAGGACGAGCTGTAATTCCTTTTTACCTCATTGCTGCCTGAACCAGGTGTTTATTGCCCAAAATACAACGAAGATGAGGTGCCAAAAGCTTGAAATTCCCGAGCTCAGTGTGAAAATTGCATTTTGTTCCTGGTGGCTCCAGTCCCTGGAGGTTCATGGATGTGAAGCTGGAACTGATTTGGATGCAAAGTGATTTATAAAGAGCTGCTGATTCCCCCACAGAACAGGTGAAATCAAAATCCACTTCAAGGACTTTGCATTAATAATAAACAACTAATAAATGGTTTCCTGTAGGGAAAAAAAGTCCTGCTTGGAGCCAAGGAAAAGATAGTGATGCTTTGGGAGAGAGGAGTTTCCAAGTGCTGGAATTGAGTTTGCAGGGGATTTGCACTGCTGAAACCCCACTGAAGTGCATTGGATTGTGCACCAAATAAAATCTGTGCTTGTCACAGGCTCTGGGGGGGAATTTCAGAGGTTTTGGGGAAAATTTTGGCTTCTGAGCTCATCCCGAGGCTGGAAAAGCTGAGGAAAGCAGTCCCACTCCTGCTGGGAATCCTGCTGGCTTTATGGGACCAGCCTGGGGGAGATCTTGGGGCTCTTTCCCTTCTCCCAGGTGGATCCCGAACTCCTGGATCAGGAATTCCCCAGCTGCGAGCTCGGGATGAGCTTTCAGCCTGATCCTCCAGTCTGACATTCCCCAATTCCTGCAGGGATCCGGCTCCACCCGGGGTGGTTTGGAGGCTGCAGGTGATGCTTGGAATCACACTGATCCTACGGCGTGGGGTGATGATGATTTTAGGGCTGTCCAACATTCCCGAGCCACGCTGAGGGGAAGGGACAAACCCAACCATGGAAAGGAAGAAACCCCCAGAGGGTTGGGAGCAGGGCCGGGCAGCCTGAGAGGATATAGGGAATTTATCCAAGCACACAGGAATTGGGAAGGATAAAGCCCTGAGGGAATTAAATGTAGCCTGGGCCATCAAAGGTGACAAAAATGCTTCTAAAGTAACAAATTCACAGAATCACTGGGTTGGGAGAGACCTTCAGGATCATGGAGTCCAACCCAGCCCCAACTCAGCCCTGGCACCCAGTGCCACATCCAGGCTTTGTTAAACACACCCAGGGATGGGGACTCCACCACCTCTCCAGGCAGCCATTCCAGAACTTTATCACTCTTTCTGCAAAAAACTTTTTCCTGATATCCAACCTTGGCACAGCTCAGGCTGTGTGCTCTAGTTGCGTTGGTGCTGCTGCAGAAAGAGCCCAGCCCAGCTGAGCACAGGCACCTTTCAGGAGCTGTGCAGAGTGATGGGGGAACCCCTGAGTCTCCTTTTCTCCAGGCTGAGCACCCCCAGCTCCCTCAGGAGTTCCTCTCAGGGTTTGTGTTCCCTCTGCAGCCCCGTTGTCCCCTCTGGATGTGCTCAGTGTCCCAAGGTCCTTCCCAAACTGAGGGGACAGAGCTGGGCACAGCACCCGAGGTGTGACCTCAGCACTGAGTCCTGTCCTGGAGGACAGCAAGGGCTGGGGCCAGGCTGGGAGAGCTGGGAATGTTCCCTGGAGAGGAGAAGGCTCCAGGGAGAGCTCAGAGCCCCTGGCAGGGCCTGAAGGGGCTCCAGGAGAGCTGCAGAGGGACTGGGGACAAGGGATGGAGGGACAGGAGCCAGGGAATGGCTCCCAGTGCGGGGGCCGTGCGGCATTCCCGCTCCAGGAACCGCAGCTAGATGGCACCGTCAGCCTGCGATTCCTTCTCCGTGCTGTGTCCCTGAATCCCAGCGTGCAGGAATCTGTCCCGCGGATTCCCTGTCCTTGCTTTTGTTTGAAAAATCCCAATATTTTGTGTCCTTGCTGCTGGACAGCAGGACTGGGGCAGAGCCGAGCTCTCCTTGCTCTTGCTTGAGTCTGTGTGAGACTGGAAGCAAAATTCCAGTTGCTTCCTTTTCCCCTTTCCTTTTCCCCTTTCCTTTTCCCCTTTCCTTTTCCCCTTTCCTTTTCCCCTTTCCTTTTCCCCTTTCCTCCCCTCATGCTCTGCTCCTGCACATTCTGTCATTTTGGGGAAAAAGTTTAAAATCCCACCCAAAGGAGGCAGGTGCTCTTTATCCCTGCTCAGATTATCCCTGATTTCCTCCTGCTTCTTCACCAGCCCCTGCTGAGCTCTCCTCGTCCTCACTGGGACCATGAATATTCCTGACTGGGGGCCTTTTATCCATAAATTCATTTTAGGGGAGTCAAACTCACTTGGGGACATTTGGGTGTCACTTTGTGGGGCCAAAAGCTGTGCTGAGCTTGAGGGAAGCATCTCCTGCATCCAGCACCACAGACTTGGAAAAATCCCATGGATTTGGGTAAATCCCATGGATTTGGGTAAATCCCGTGGATTTCTCCCTGCTGATTCCTAGCACCAGGCTGGAACTGCAGTGATGCTCACATATCCCAAATTCCCACTTTATATAATCTGATTTATTCCTTTAGCACAGTCCTCTGCTAAACTTTCCCCATCCCAGTGCTGGGTTTGGCACCTGCTGAGCAGGAGAATTTTCCAGGAAAAATTTCCCCATGGAAAAGGTGCACAGGCCTTGGAATTGGCTGCCCAGGAAGGTTTGGAATTTCCATCCCTGGAGGTGCCCAAGGAATTCCTGGATGTGGCACTCAGAGCTCTGGGCTGGGGACAAGGTGGGGATCAGGCACAGCTGGGACTGGATGATCCCAAATATTTTTTTCCAACTTGATGATTCCATGATCCTGCTCCAAGTTTTTAACAATCTGGTGGGATAAACAGCCAGGAAAATCCAGGCAGATGGGATCAGGCTGAAGTGCTTCTAAATAAAACATCCCCAAGGGCTGGCAGGAGGCACCAGTGGCTCCAATTCACGCCTCTTGTTGGGAGTGCGTTCCTTGCAGACAATGTTTATTTATGGCATGGAAAAATCTATTTCCATCCAAACATTTCCATAACTGAATATTTATGCCAACAACCACTGAATGCTCCTTGAATAAAGTGAAAAAGTATTTATTCAGTTAGAAATGTTTACTTGTTTAGTGGTAAAACTGCTTTAAACAAACTTAAAAATCAAATTGGTGGCTTCCCCTTTTGCAGGATTTCCGTGGTTTTCCAGGCCTCAGCAATGGATAATGGTGGAATTATCATTCCAGCTCGAGGAGCCTCTGTGTATTTATACCTTTAATCTCAGAGAAAGTTGGTTTGGGTGGGATATTGGGACAGAATTCCTGGCTGGGAGGGTGGGGAGGGGCTGGAATGGAATTCCCAGAGCAGCTGTGGCTGCCCCTGGATCCTTGGAAGTGTCCAAGGCCAGGCTGGAGCAGCCTGGGACAGTGGAAGGTGTCCCTGCCATGGCAGGGTGGGATTAAATGGCATTTAAGGTCCCTTCCAACCCAACCCATTCTGGGATGAGCAGGCAGTGCTGGAGTCCCCATCCCTGGAGGGATTTA